CTTTTAATGGCCCCATAAATGACTTATCCAAAGGCTGGAGCTTGTGCGTCGAGTAAGGAGGCAAACAAAATGTTAACATGGTTTCCCTTGCAAGGTCGATAACATCGATATTGCGAGTGTGGGTGTAATGGCCGTCAAGGATTAACAGGAGGAAGGTTTCTTCAGTTAGTGTAGTGTACTGGATAAAGTGACGGAACCACTGGGTGAAAATATGGGACTGTACCCAACCGGAGGGACAAAGTTTCCAGCCGCACTCATACAAAAAATAACTGTAATCAGAGCCCCTCTCTCTGCTGATGTTAATGAAGCAACTTGACGTTTGCCTTTCAGCACTATTACTGACGACACTTTACTTTAGACAATTGTTAACCCTGATTCGTCTACATTATAAACGTTGTTCGAGGAATAGGGTTTTTGCTTTTCAAGGAGGTCAAAAAAGCCGGCAACTCTTTCTTTACAAAAACCTGCAGCTCTGGCAAATGATGTCCCCGTTGGTTTCTTTATTGACAATTTTGGATGTCACTTTAAAAACAAATCAATCCAGGCTCTGCCTGCCAATCCAGATGTAGAAAATGGCTGTTTGGACTCCATTTTTAAAATGTAATCAACTAGTAGCTTCTCTAGCTCTGGTCCCAAAACACATTTTCTTCCAAGCTTGGTTGCTGCAGCCTTATCTGGTGGAACTGTGTTAATTTGACTCAGACGAAAGAGCGTTGTACGAGGAACCCTATAGGTTTTGGATGCCTTTAGATATCCCATTGTTTTTTCTCTCACTGCCTGAATGACCCTAGCCATGTCCTCTTCCTTGTATTGCTTTCTTTTATTATTGCAAGACGAACGTTTAGTTTTTCGTGGCATCCTAAAAAAATAAAAACGTGGTGTAAATATGGAATACTAGTATTCCATATTATCAACAACCCATGTCACTAATATTTCAGGTTAGATCTAGGCTATCATAACAAAAAACTAAACAAATGCAACGTCATCTTAAACTTTAGTTTATATACAGTGGCATCGAAACAAATATTTAAATAAAAACATGCAAATAAAAAAAAAATAGGCTTGCATATTCACTTACGTGTTAAACTTTTCAGGACGCGAAATTCACATGTGCACACCTCAAGAACCAAAACCATACTAAAACGGCGCGGGGTAGATCGCCTATAATAAAGATGGCAAACAAGCACAAGTTTAGCCGGTTTTCGATAGGAGGCGGCATTTAGTTTAGTCAAAACCGAGGTATTCCATATTACATGCATATTCTATATTTACACCTTCTCCTCTAACAATAAATAAGACACAAGAAAAAATATATTGAAATAAACTGAATGAAATCGTTTACATAATAAAATGAGTGTTTTTTTTTTAAATTCCGCAAAATAAAACGATGATCTACATGTATTACAAAAAGATTTATTTTTAGTTAATTAAGAATGATACTGCTCATATAGCACAAACACGTTTTAAAGACATCTCAAAGATGCTTGTTCACGACGTTCGTCACGTTTTGAAGTCTTGCATGTTTTAATTGATAAATTATTTAATTTTATCTATATAAAATACAAATTAGGCATGTATGACCAAATTCGAAAATGTTTCTTAATTGCTGAAATTTGACAAGTACAATTTTGTAGCAATTTTTTTTTTTTAATTTAACCAATATATAGTTTTAAGAGTAAAATAAAACACAGTTAACATATTTTTTATTGTTGTATACAGGTATAGAGAGAGATTTGGGAATAAACATGGTATTACCTCATCCTTTAATTTCAACTTTCCCCTTTTTATTTTGCAGTGTTATCAGTAAAAATAGTCTCATAATATAAAAAGTATAGAAAAGTAATTAAATGAAAAGCAAAAGTAAATTAGAATTTAATAAAAGTTAATATTTAGAATTGTACGACACGCCACTGGAAAAAATTACTTATTTGGCCATTTTAATATCATAAATTGCCTAAATATCGATGAAAAGCATAAAATAAACAAACTTGGTGGGTAAATTTTTTTACTCTGGAGTAAGATATGTACAATATGTAAATACCAAGTTGTATAACACCAAATAAAATGAAAAATATAAGAAAATATATAAAGTAAAAACGATTGATGTTTATCATTTACCTGTGAATCTTAATATCTGCTTATTTCTTGCTGCTGCAACTTTTACAATCAGAAATAAACACGAAAAAACTTTGGTGTCACCGAAATGCTAAGCACCAAAATAATGGCGGCCAATAGATAATTGGCACAGATTACTACGTGTGCTCGATATACTTGTTATGAGTCCTCTCTTTATTACTTAGTCTAAGACAAAAATATATAACAATATCGCCTTGTAACGTTGACAGTAATTAGTAATATTGTTCCGTTGCAATTTATGACAAAGTCCTCTTCGGTGCTTGGGATTGCACAGCCATACTGGGCCGCCTCTCTCAAAATGTATACCGGTTGCACACATGTTGATTCTAGCTTCTGCTTTTTCGCTGTTGGCTTTTAGATGTTCCCGAGGGAGTCCGTAGACCTTTGTCCTGCCATTGCATAGATCACTTTTTTTACACCAATCCGCTACATCCCTTCCGCAATTGACCCAATAAACTCTTGCCCGAACTCGTGCCACCGTCCTTTTAGTCCCAAAATATCCACCCAAACGGCTGCTATGAAGTATCTTCAACACACTTCTGACATGTGATTTCGGCAGTACCACTTGTCGGGCTACATGTACTCCATTGGGGCTCTCCCACTTCCGATGCAATAGGCCATAATGAAGATACAGGGAATCCCATTGAGTCCAGTACCCTTTAATAGCTCCACTGTATTTTGCTATCTCTTGCTAAATAGGTCTGACTTTATTTTTGAGCCATTCTCGGACAACCTTCAAGTCATTGTCTTTCTTCTGCCCCTTTCTCGGACAACCTTCAAGTCATTGTCTTTTTTCTGCCCCTTTCTCAGGCTTTCAAGGGTGATTTCTTCTTCGTTACAATCTGGCTTGATACTGGTTGCTCAAAGAGTAGCTTTATCAACCGGTTTCTCTCGTTCTCCGAGCCCTTTACTGGTTATTGCTAGAAAGCTGGCTAGGTGTGGGTGATCGGTTTCTCCGGTAATTATTTCTTGTTGGACTTCGTGACGAGCTTCGGGAGATTGGTCATGTGACTTTCTGGCCTTATTCCCTGATTCTTGATTTATAGAGCGAGCCTTGCTTCTGCAGGTCCTTTGAAGGTGTCCGATTCTTCCACAATTAAAGCATCTCCTGCTTGCATTTTGGCTATTTTGTTGCGTATTTTTCAGGATATTTAAGATTTGTGAGAGTGTAGGTTGGAGAATAGTATTAGTATTGGCCTCCTCACTATCCTGGGGTTTAGTTTCTCTCACTCTGGTGCGAGAAGATCTGGATAGGAATTGTAGACGAAGGGTTTGCTGCATTTCCACATCTTATAGTCCATCAAATGCTGCTGGTTATATCTTGTCTACAAAGCTTGGATGAGGATAAATAACTGAGTTCTTCTTGGTTACTGTAAAACGGTTGCTGCTTGTCCTCGCAGCGACACTATTAATGAAGCCGTCATCTCTTTCTCGGTCCAGCCATTGACTCTGGCCGCATCTTCAAAGTAGAGTCGACACGTTTCTCATGTTGTCTGACCGTCAAACGTGGGTGGTTTAATGGTCTGGCTAGTATGGAATTTTGTGAAACTGGGTTTTGGATATGGCTTGGTTCAGTTATAGATGGGGACGAGGTAGTGTTTGCTGTTTCTCTGTTGCTTACCAAAGCTAGGCTGTGAATTTTTCTTTCTAATTCAACTAGTTCAGTTCTAATTTGCCTTCCAACTCTATTCTAGCCGTTTCTTGTTGTTTTAAATTATTTTTAAATTCTCTTGTTGTTGTGCTAAGAGATCTTTTCGACCGTTTAGTTGACCTACCTCTTGCTTAAAGTTTTCTTGAATTTGTACTAAGCCGTTTATAATCTCCACCTCCGCTTTTCTATGCCTCTTCTCCTCCTCTGCACGCCTTTCCCCTTTTTTCTTCTTCCTTTCTACGCCTTTCTTTTTCCTCCTCTTCTCCCTTCCTACGCCTTTCTTTTTCCTCCTCTTCTCCCTTCCTACGCCTTTCCAATTTCTTCTCTTCTTCCTTCCTGCACTTTTCCTTTTTCTCCTCTTCTTCCTTCCTACCTTTCCTTTTTCTTCTCTTCTTCCTTCCTACGCCTTTCCTTTTCCTCCTCTTCTTTCTTCCTACGCCTTTTCCTTTCCTTCCCTTCTTCCTTCCTATGTCTTTCCTTTTTCTCTTCTCGCCTTACTCTCTCCTCTTCCTTTTTTCAAAAACCATGCTGGTGGGCATGAATTATTCATGTCTGCTTCGTACTCAGTGGATCTAGTATTCACCATAAACTTTTACTTCGGATCCCAATGCTGCAGTTTTTTGGTATTTCAATTTATTTCAACTCAACTTTTACAATAACTATACAACTGATAACATTAATATATAACGGCTATCCTAAAACTGATAACTGACATCAGGATCATCGGCTTATATAGCTTGCTTTCACCTTCTCGAATCTTCTCGAAATGTCTAGATTTGTCTTGACATGGAATGACATTTCTCGAATATTCCCCCGTCTTCTTTTACTATATTTAGGTATAATTCAAAAAAATTTAGACACAAAATTTTACTTACTAAATTTCACCATTTAACAAACCTTTTCGAATTTGTCATACCTACCTAATTTGCATTGTATGTAGACAAAATATGCGAGACTTACTTATAAATAAATACAAGAGTATTTGGCAATAAATAAGTTTATTTTTATTATTTGACAAAATGTAAAATTCCCTTTTTTGAGACAGTATTTCAAGTATGCCGATTCGCCTCCTTATCTCTAGTCTTCATAGGTCTACCTTAAGTCTAGATACAAATTCAAATTATTTTATATCTCAAACGAAACTACCAGCTCTAGGAATGGGATAGATTTCTTTATAATTTATGTTTATAATAAATATTTTATGATTTTTTAGCTTCGCAACCCTTCATCAAACCAACACCACCAGAAAACTGCACAATCATCCATCAAACACGCTACTATCTCCAAGTGAGTTGCCAAATGGCCAGTCACTTGCTACACCCTTCCAACATTTATCTAATGCAAGTTTATGATGCTAAAACTCGTCTATTAATCGGTACTACCACATCACAAGATCCTACTGAAATTACTTTACATAATTTACCGGGCGTTTCCGAAGATGTTCTCCTGTTTATCAGAACCATGGACTATAGATCCGTGACAAGCGATGCTAATATCATTTATGTTCCAGCTGTTGCTAAATTGAACACAGGTGGTAAGTGCATTGTTGTGGTTTGGTGTTGGTATTGGTATTGGGTTTGTTTGTATTTCTTAATTTATATGGATAGTGTCATTTATAAATGAATAAATTGGAGAAAATTTGCATGAATTTGTCGTCAAATGGCGAAAAAATGCTTTTTCTTTTTCAAAGATAACTGCTTATTGGTCTATTTAAATGCTTTTTCCTTCTTATATGTTTCCTCCTGTCTTCCCTTCGGATTTTGTCTTGCTTTTCTATCTTAATGTATTTAGTTAAATGTATTTAATTGACACCGAGCATTAAAAATCTAGATCATGAGATAAAGCGATGCCAACCTATATATAAATATGTAACCAATATAATTTTTTAGGGTTAATTAGATGACTAGTTATCGATAGATATTTCACGTCCATTGATTAAAATCCACTAAAATATGTCCTTAGCAATTTTGTCTGTGAAGTTGGAAACATATCACACGCATTCTTCCTTTTATTCATGACGTCATCTAAGCGAGCCTGATAGCGTTATCGATGATTTTTTAAAAATAAATGTAAATCATGTGATGCTTTGTTTACATTTTGTAGTGATTGTCAAGATGTTTCTCTTTTATTTTCTATTTCTATAATTATTGTAAAACAGAAAATATATATTTAGATGAAAATAACTGACAAATCAAGTTATGCTTAATAATACAAGAAAATGCTAAGAAAACTCACTATAGGCAGATATTCAGAAATTAAAAAAAAAATAGTATATTATTAAACGAGCAATTTATGATAGCCATTATTCACGCAGGGTGACGTTTACGTCCTGAGCCGTAGACGAGGGGCGCAAGTCACCCAAGTGAAAAATGGCCATAAATTGCGAGTCTAATACTATACTTTGTCCACGATTATTATGGTTTCTTTATTAAATAAAGGTTAAGTGTAGAAAGGAAAGTTTTTATTAACCATAGATAACTAACTGTTGTTTTTTCAACTTATCAATTTTCCAATTTTCCAATTTTTCAAATTTCTGATTTTTAGATTTTTCGATTTATCAATTTTTCGATTTTTCGATTTGTCGATTTTTCGATTTTTCGATTTTTCGATTTTTCGATTTTTCGATTTTTCGATTTTTCGATTTTTCGATTTTTCGATTTTTCGATTTTTCGATTTTTCGATCTTTCGATTTTTCGATTTTTCGATTTTTCGATTTTTCGATTTTTCGATTTTTCGATTTTTCGATTTTTCGATTTTTCGATTTTTCGATTTTTCAATTTTTCGATTTTTCGATTTTTCGATTTTTCGATTTTTCGATTTTTCGATTTTTCGATTTTTCGATTTTTCGATTTTTCGATTTTTCGATTTTTCGATTTTTCGATTTTTCGATTTTTCGATTTTTCGATTTTTCGATTTTTCGATTTTTCGATTTTTCGATTTTTCGATTTTTTTGATTTTTCGATTTTTCGATTTTTCGATTTTTCGATTTTTCGATTTTTAGATTTTTCGATTTTTCGATTTTTCGATTTTTTTGATTTTTCGATTTTTCGATTTTTCGATTTTTCGATTTTTCGATTTTTCGATTTTTCGATTTTTCGATTTTTCGATTTTTCGATTTTTCGATTTTTCGATTTTTCGATTTTTCGATTTTTCGATTTTTCGATTTTTCGATTTTTCGATTTTTTTTTTTGATTTTTCGATTTTTCGATTTTTCGATTTTTCGATTTTTCGATTTTTCGATTTTTCGATTTTTCGATTTTTCGATTTTTCGATTTTTCGATTTTTCGATTTTTCGATTTTTCGATTTTTCGATTTTTCGATTTTTCGATTTTTCGATTTTTCGATTTTTCGATTTTTTGATTTTTCGATTTTTCGATTTTTCGATTTTTCGATTTTTCAATTTTTCGATTTTTCAATTTTTCGATTTTTCGATTTTTCGATTTTTCGATTTTTCAATTTTTCGATCTGGATGATAACAGATTGCTTCCTTTACCATCGCATCCTCGCTCGATATATGGGTTTAGCTTGTTCTGAAACTTCACTTAGACAATTAACATTGACATTTTTTATTATAACGTACAAAAAACATTATACGAGGCCATTACAAATACTTCATTTTCCAACATCCTCCCCCCTTTTGAAGTGTTTAGCTTCAAAACAAAAAAAATAAATAAATCAGAATGAAAAAAAAACAATTATAAAATATTTAAACACCTATGCGGATGCTGCAGGAAAAGGACATATTTTAACAATTGGCCTAACAAAAATACCATCTTGTGTTTTAACCTTTACAGCTCGCACTTTATTATCGTGACTCAAAATTATCTCTAGTATCCTTCCACGTGGCCAGTGAAGAGGAGGGGTGTTGTTTTCAACAATTAGTACAAGGTCATCAATTTCTAAATTTTTTGATTCAGTATGCCATTTTGGCCGATGTTGTAAAAGGTTTAGGTATTCAACACTCCACCTTTTCCAAAATCTTTGATTAATTTGCGTGACCTTTTGCCACAATGATAGCCTATTTTCTGGGATTTCACTAAGGTCTTTTTCAGGGTAAGACATTGGATTGGTGCCTATTAAAAAATGACCTGGCGTTAAAAAACTTAAGTCCGAAGGGTCATTTGATAGCGGACATAAAGGCCGAGAGTTTAAAATACTTTCGATTTGAGCAAGGACAGTAGTTAGAGGTTCAAAAGTTAAATGTGCGTCACCAAGGACTCTTTTTATATGGAATTTTGTGCTTTTAACTGCTGCTTCCCAAAACCCGCCCCAATGGGGACTGTTAGGAGGTAAAAACGTCCATTTAATCTCCGTTAAACTTAAAAAATTAAATATACTTTCTAAATTGTCTTGAGATTTAAAAAATTTATATACATCATGTAAGTGATTTTTCGCGCCTACAAAATTTGTAGCGTTATCACTAAAAATTTCATTAGGATTACCTCTTCGTGCAATAAAACGTTTAAGTGTAAGCAAAAATGCTTCAGATGTCAAATCTGAAACAAGTTCTATATGTATGGCTTTAGTGGCCATACATACAAATACTGCAAAATAGGCTTTTAATATGGGTGCCTTTCGCAAAGGAGATGATTTTATAATTATGGGACCTCCAAAATCAATTCCTACCTTAGAAAATGGGCGTGCGATGGAAATGCGGGATTTTGGCAAATCTGCCATAATTTGTTGAGCAATCTGCGCCTTAAATCGATGACATGTAACACAGTTTTTAAGGATCTTTTTAGTTTCGCGAATGCCGTTAATAGGCCAATAACGCAATCTTAAATTAGCTAATACTGATTTGGGACCTGCATGGTACAAACGTAAATGTTCCTTTTTTATTAAAAGGTGAGTAATATGGTCTTTAGCTGGGAGTAGAATGGGGTGTTTTTGATTGAAAGATAAATCACCTTTTGAGAGTCTGCCTCCAACTCTAAGAAGGCCACACGTATCTACAAATGGATGTAAAGGAAGTAAATCTTTATTAGATACGTATTTTCCTTTATTGAGTTCATGAATATCTCGGGAGAAATATCTAGATTGTACACATTTTATAATTTTAGTGAGTGAATTTTGCAGCTCTTGTACTGACAGTGACCCTGAAAGTTTTTCTGAGTTTGGGTTTGCATTATTAATGAAACGAAGACAAAAAGTTAGAACTCTGTGTAGTCTGGTGAAATCACTAAAACGGTCAAAAATTTCTTCACAATTTGATTCATTTATTAGATGATGCACAAAGGTTTTTCTTTGCTCTGGCAAATTTTCTGAACATTGGTTCATAACAAAATTATTCAGATTCACGTTAGGATCTTGGATAAATCCAGGACCATGCCACCATAAGGGGCAGTTGATTATTTGTTCAGGGTCTGCTCCACGAGACACGAAATCAGCCGAATTGAGGCTTGACCTTACGTGACACCACTGGTAAGAATATGTAAGCTCTTGAATATCCGCAATTCGGTTGGCAACAAAGGTTGTCCAACGTGACGGATGAGATTTTAACCAACACAATACAATTTGAGAGTCGGTAAACAGATATACATGATTTATGATTAATTTGGGTTTAACAAGGGAAACTATTTTCTCAGTGAGTTTGGAAAGAAGATATGCTCCACACAACTCTAAACGAGGTAACGTTAATGATTTCAGTGGGGCAACTCGAGATTTGGAACAAATTAAATGTGAGGAAGTTTGATTGTTTTCATATAAAGTTCTTATGTAGATGCAAGCTCCGTAAGCCTTGAGACTTGCATCGCAGAATCCACAAATATCGATACTTATTATTTTGATAGATAGAAAGATATATCTCGGAATTTTTACTGCTGACAATTTTGAGATAGTATTTACAAATGTATTCCACTCACTTTGCAATTGTTGCGGTAATTGATCATCCCAATTAATCTTATTGATCCATATTTTTTGCATAATCAGTTTAGCTTTTAGAATAACAGGGCCCACTAAACCTAAAGGATCAAATAGTTGGGATATTGTTGACAACACGTTTCTTTTTGTGGGTATTTGTGAAAAAGGGATGGACGGTAATTGGATGGAAAATTCATCAGTTAGTGCATTCCAAGAAAGACCTAAGACCTTGTTAGTGGAATTATCTAACGTTAAATCATAGTCTATATGATGGGAATTCTCATGAATTTTTTGTAAAAATGTAACAGAATTGGATTTCCATTTATGTAAATTGAAACAAGCCAAATTTAATAAATCCTTAAGTTGGTGATATAATTTAAATAACTGGTCAATGTCGTTAGTGCCCATGAGAATATCATCTACATAACATTGATTAATGAGGGCGTCTGAGGCTAATGGAAAATTATTTTCGTATTTTTTGGCTAATTCAAAAAGCGATCTGGTTGCAAGAAAAGGAGCACAATTAGTACCATATGTGACAGTTGACAACTCAATGCATTTGAGAGGTTGCTCTGGGTGATCTCTCCATAGAATATTAAGTAAAAATCGATGCTTAGGATTAATTTCAATTTGCCGATACATTTTTTGTATATCAGTGACTAAAACAAATTTAAAGTGTCTAAAACGACACAAGATATCAAACAGTTCCGGTTGTACCGTGTAACCCTTTAACATTATATCATTTAATGAGATACCAGATGTTGTCTTCATGCTGGCATCAAAAACTACTCTTAATTTAGTTGTAATGCTTTCTTCCCGAATCACACAATGATGCGGTAGAAAATATTTACTTTCATTTAATGAATTAGTTAGTGTCAATGGAACATACCTTGCATGATTTAACGAAATGTATTCATTTATAAATGATTGATATTGTGAGAATAAATTATAGTTCCTTTGAAAACGTTTTTCTAACAAATAAAACCTTTTGCTGGCTTGTGAAAAGGAGTCTCCTAGTTTTAAATGCTCAGTTGAATTTTTTATAGGAAGATCAATCTGAAAACGACCATTTTCCAAAATAATAAGAGTGTCTTTAAACTTAGTTTCGGCGAGTTCATCATCAGGTGTTAAACGCGGTTTGTTTGGAATTTCCTCTAATTGCCAAAATTTTGTTAACAAATCGTTTTGTTCTGTTTGTGCAAAAAAACTTAATTGAGATTGTGATGGAAGACAATTTTTCATTTCAATAGGGCCACCTAAAACCCAACCAAGATAAGTATTTTGTAAAAGAGGCAGATTTTCACCTAATCTGATGAAACCTGGTTTTATTAATTCATAATAGACGTCTGAGCCAAGTAATAAGTCTATTTTTGAAGGGGTGTAAAAAGTAGGGTCAGCTAATTCTATATTGTTTGGTATTGGTAATGAAAATTTCCCTATACCAATTTGGGGTAAATCACAAGTGATTTTTGGTAATATTGCACAAGATACCTTAAACTTTTTATTACACGAGGTTGATCTTATTATTATATCAGTCATTTTATTTGATTGCATCAAAGTATTCGTAATTCCTGTGATTTGAAGTTCTCTTGTGTAAGATGAATTTTTAAGTTTTTTAAATAATTCAGAAGAAATAAAAGATGACTGTGATCCATTATCGAGCAATGCCTTTGCGTAAAAAATCTCACCATTGTCTGATTGTACCTGAACCGTAGCTGTGGCTAATAGTATTTGTGTTGCGTTATTGAATAGTGTAAATGTATTCTCTATAGACTTAGTGTTCATTACTTGAGTTTGTGTACAATGTAAAGAATGATTATTTGGATTAGCGATTTGAGTATTTTCTGCATTTTGATGAGAAGCTTGGGTTATTTGAGTGTGAGTGTGGTTACTGAGACCATGGGGTTGACTGTAATTTGAACGAGTATTTTGAGACTGTTGAGAATAATTCAGTTGAGTGTTTGGTTGAGAGTGAGTATTATTTGATAAATTTGTGGGGTTACTTTGAGTACTTGAGTGGTTAAATCGTGTGTTATTAGAGTGAGAGTAATTCGATGGATTATTTTGAGTGTTTAAGAGAAACAATTGTGAATTATTTTGAGCATTAGGGGTACCTAAATTGGTAAGACCAGGGCGCTTATTATTCAAGTGAGAGTACTTGGAATTGGTAAAATTATCATTATGCAGTAAAGTGTGGTGTCTTTTATCACAAATTGAACAATTTTTTGATTTAGTCTATCGATAAATTTTTTGTACCAAGGCAATTGATGCAAAGCTTGTTAGTATATACGAATTGTCGTTTTTGTGAATGATTAAGTGAATTGAATTTCACACATTTATAAATAGTATGGTCACTGAGCGAACAATATAAACAGTTTATTAGAGAAGATAATTTATTATCATGGGGGTTCACTATTAAGTGAGAAACCTTTTTTTTGAGTAACCTTTCGTCAGTAGAATTTGAAGCACCTTCAAGGTAAAGACATCTACCCTCTAAATACGTATAAAAATCAGTTAAATTGGGAAGCGAGCGTTTTAACTGAATTTCTTTTATTCGCTCTTGTTCGAAACAGTTTCTTGTCCTTTGATCGAGTTTTTGTGAAAATATGTGAATTAAGAACAGTTCTAACAAAGAGTCATTAGTAACATTTAAGTTTTGAAGACTGTGTAAATTTTGTTTGAGATGTGCAATAAGTTCACGCAAATTTTTGCTTGTGCAATAATTTATTGAAGGATAATCAAGTAATTGTTTTATATGGTTGTTCACTTGAGATAATTCGTTGCCATATCTTTCTTCTAAAATATTTAGTGCTACATCAAAATTATCATTTTCAACTCTCAAATTGCTAATTAATTTAAGAGCTTCATTGTTTAATGACGTTTTTAAATGACATAATTTTTCTACATTAGTAATATTAGTATTATCAATCACTAACGCTGTAAACAAATCTATAAAACCTTTCCAGTCTTCCATTTTACCGGAAAACACTGGCAGAGAAATTTTTGGTAAGCTAGATGAACTATTTTGAACATTTTGTTGAAATGCAGATGAAGAATTTGTTGAGGTTTTTAAATTAATTTCATCTAATTTCGATTGAATTTCTACTTTGACTTCAAAATATTTCGATTCAACTTCTTCTCTGTCTGCACTTTCAGCTTCATCCAATAATTCAATTTCATCTTGTAATTCGGAATATTTCTTAAAACTATCATCTAAAGCTACTTGTCTTACTGTTAAGTCAGGAGTAGTTAAAGATTTGTCTTGATTTCTTTTAAAAAATGAAAAAATGCGAGTAATACCGCCCTTTTGAATCGCTCTCTTTTTTATTAATTTCTCCATCGTTAACTACTAATAGTAATAAATTATTTTTGTTGAACAAGAAGTGTCTTTTATATTTTCACTTTTAGTTACGAACAGTAGTCATTTAAAATTGAATTAGCACTGATTTTTCAACAGCTGGTTATAAAAACAAACAGTTACCTTGAACTTGAAAATATCACAATCGAATCACTGACCTAGTGACCTATTTTCTGTCCTGCTTCTTCCAAGCACGACGCAGCTCCTCCACTCATTTAAATTGTGTCGTGACGTGACAAACCCGGCAAATCACAATGCTTCTACTGGTGAGTGACAACACTAAATCTGCGAGATATGATTGGTCGTTGACGACGATCAAATATGGCTGCTTTTCTGGAACGAACTCGAAGCTTCTACCTAGACTTTGCGTTTGCGATGCTACCTGCTCGCGTTTGGGGGACACCTGGGACGGCGTTTATTTAAATTTAACAAATTTTATGAAATCCTGGGGTATTATTCCACTAATCCGACTCTAGAAGGACCACATGAATGGATGATAACAGATTGCTTCCTTTACCATCGCATCCTCGCTCGATATATGGGTTTAGCTTTTTTACCTTTAGTGGAATAATACAACTTTTTATAGATCTAATTTATTTACCTTTTCGTACAGCAAAATGACTGCCACAAATACAAAGGGGAAAACTGACTGTTCTGAAACTTCACTTAGACAATTAACATTGACATTTTTTATTATAACGTACAAAAAACATTATACGAGGCCATTACAAATACTTCATTTTCCAACACGATCTAGAAAATATCGTTATGAAAAGTATCGCCCATCTTTACTTATCTACCAAAAGCGTGAATTATCATAATTCACTCTAGTAATATATGGGTACCATATGCTTTTAGTTAGGAGGTAGATTATTGATTTATTATTAAGTGGTCGTGGACAAAATATTTTGTGCTCTTTTATCTTAGTCCAAAAACTATTTGTTTCATTTATGTATTTTTTTCAGCTTCTACTCCAGTTCTCCTTCAAATAACTCCTCTTCTAGGAGCCTTAATTGGTGTCGTGGCTGCGCTTATTCTCATCGCCATCATCATCGTAGTCATTATTCGTCTAAGAGGTGGAGGAGAACACGACGATAAAGATTATGACGATGGTGGACTTGGTTCTGCAGGACGACGTTGCGTAGCAGGGAACAGCGATAAGGCTAGCACTGAACCCCTTAACAAGGTGAGTTGAATTAAAAAAAAAATGTTGTTTATACTGTATTCAATATAAAATCTAATTAACGTCATTGACGATGCGTTTAATTTTAGTCTGCCACAAATCTATGTACGTAGTTACCAAATTACCAAAATAACAGAGGTATTCTGGTCCAGTGTACTTGCCATGTCGAATAAGTCTTACACTTTTAGAACCTTTTTAGATCTTTACTGTAATGTCAATATGTGCGGGAACCCACAATAGAGTTACAGTTGGTCCTTCAGAGAAGAGTTGTTGGTAATATTTATGTACGGCTTGTAGTAGGTGATGACAGCTGTATATGTTTTAAATTGATTTGATCGAGGTTAGAGAATTCGTGTACATTGCAACTTTTTTATTTTGGGTTACAGAATTGAAAGCTTGAAGTATAGCAAATAGTTCTTTTGTGTGAATACTGGAGAAAATTTAAAGAGACAGTTGTTTGAGAGAGAAGAAGTAATTAAACATCATACGGCATTACTTTTTTAGAGGCGTAGATATAGTTTGTTTAAGATCTATATTGAAAAAAAGTGGTGGCAAACAATAGCTGACTAGTTGAATTCGTCTGGGTGTCTGAGGGTTTATGCTCTCCTTGTGTATAGTTTTATAAGCTGGATTTAGCAGATTTGCAGCTACTCTGGAACATTGTGTCAAGAGAAGTTGTTGTCTTCTTAGCTCATTGGCTTCGCAACATGAACTATCCACTGAGCTTAACCGGAAAGCTTCCAAGCATATCGTAAAGTTGTATTTTGCATTAAGTCTGTTTTAGTAGCTGATATGTAGAGAATGTTATGGTAGTCGGTTCTGGAACGGATAAGTGCTTTATAGACTCAGCAGTATTTGTTCTTTAGTTCCCCATTGGCGGTATGATAGGTTTTTAGAATATTGAGCCTACCTAGACAATTATCTTTAATCTGCTTAATGTGCTCTTTCCAGTTTAGCTTCTTGTCGAATACGATCCCTAGAATTACAATTTCGTCGACGGTGGAAATGTTTAAGATTATTTAACGTGATATTTGTAGTATTTCTTCTTCTGGCGTATTTAATAACGTTGAACTTTGTAGCTGTTGTGGTAGGGGAGAACGAGGGATGGCGGTCAGTTAAGCCAGATCGCACATAAAACAGAAAATACAGCGTTGTGGTCAAATGTAAATGGTGTAGGAGATAGCCTCAACAATCCACTAGACTGTGTTATACCACTTAAATCAAAATAGTACACAACAAAAGAGAAGTAAGATCTGAAACAATGTCATAACATTGACCACTCTGCGGTTAATACCGGTCAGCCAATTTTCAATGATTTTTAAATGGGGATGACATATTTTCAGAAAATAATGAAACAGTAGTTGCTAGAAAAGTATAGTAAGGTATTTTATTGTAGGCAATAATAAAAAAAACAAGTCACAACTCAAAAAACGACATAAACAATAATAAAAATCAAATAATAATAATAATAATATAGATCAGGGTGGGTGGCTCAGTGGTAGAGTCTCTGCCTGTGGATCCAAGGGTCCCGGGTTCGAATCCCACCGTCGGCCGGGATTTTTTCATTTAATTTAATTATTTAAAATTAATTCTGATGCCTTGGTACGATTTCCCACTCGACCATTCACTGTTGGGTTCTAATTAACAGTGCTGTTCCTAAAGTGGCGCTGGCAAACAGTAACAAAGCCTACACAGAACACGAGGCGAAATAACCCTGGTAGTTGAAGCCGATAACACACAAAAAAAAAATAATAATATAGATGATAAAAGAGTTATGGAAAAGTTTCACTTTCGTAGACAAACATCGGACTTGTAGTTTTCAGCAGTGTCCCAACCGCTATATAACTCGTGAACCCAATGGCCGCACACTATACAGCGGTACCACAACTCACCATCTCTCCCAAATTCCTCGCAAATGAGACATATTTCATTCATTGCTTTGTTCGATCTCCATGTCATCCACTTCATCATCCTGACACAAAGTTTTTTCGTCTATATTTTCTTCATCTGATGAATCGCTTTGCAACAATTTTTTCAGATTTTTCTTGAACTCCTTTCCTTTTTGTTTTTTCTTTTTCATGTTTTTTTCTTTTTCGTCTTTTCTGTTTTCTTTCTCTATCTTTTCTTTTTTCTTCTTCGTTTGTTCTTCAAGCAGCGTCTTTAAAGGAATCTCGGTTAATATGTGCGAATGTTGTGTAGCTCGAGTGACTGATCTTTTATTAGCAGGACTGGCAGAAGGGACTGGCAAAAGATTGTAAAACTTTGAAGCAGGTATAGATTTCAGAATATTATCTGGTTGCTTAAAATCTTTGGAGGTGGAAGGTTGCGCTTCAATAAGGTTACTTATAGAAACAGGGTGTGGTTTTGGAGAACTATTTATTGTAGGACCAAGAGAATCCAAAGCAGTAGTTTTTTTGGCCCCAACTTAATGTTGATGCGCCCTCATTGATGGAATCATCAATAGAATTATCGACATCATTAACCATCTCTATTTCTTTGGTATCGTTCCGGTTGTTAAGAGTATATGCTGCTAGGAAGTCTTCATCGGTAAATATATTGGGATTTACTGGATGTATTCCGGTTGCTTGAAAGACGGAAATTCTGACAGCCATCGTAGCTATTCTTGAATAGGCTTTATTGAAAAGTTCTGCTAAATTGTAAGGTGCTATTTTTAGCCATACCTTTGACTTCATATAAAGGTCACATTCTCTGCGGAAAGCAGCTTTTAGTGGCCCATGTAGGGTAACATCAAGGGGCTGCATTATGTGTGATGCAAGAGGAGGTAGAGACAACATGCAGATGCCATTTTCTCTACATAAGTTGTAAGTTTGCAATGTGATATGGCTACTACGATTATCTAATACTAATAAAGCAGGGTTCTCTTTGCTGCATCTCGAATATGTTATGAAGTGTTTAATCCACTCGTAAAATAACTGTTCATTTGACCAGCCATTGGACGAACATTTATAAGCAGCACATGGAGGTCCACCTTTTCCCAAAAGCGGAGATATCCTCTTCCGAGGAAAGATAAAAAATGCATTCATGCAGCAGATAACTGTAACGGTCTTGCCTCTTTCCCAGCTTGTTACAGAACCAAGACGTTTTTTTCCTTTGGTCGCGACAATGGTACCAGGATCTTGAACGGTCGATATCCCAGTTTCGTCGACATTGTATATTTGGTTTGGCAGATACTGAGTTTTAGACATTACTCCTTCCAAATTTTTGTAGTTTGCTACCTCTTCTCGATTAAAGGCGGTTATCCTATTAATGCTGGTTGCTTCTGGCTACCGAACACTTATCGTAGGATTCCTTTTTAAAAACGCATAAAACCAGTCCTTTCCTGCCATTTTGGATAAATGGCATAAGCAATTTGTCGGACCTGCTGGGGACTAACACCATAAAATAAATCTGACAGATATTTTATACGGTTAGCTAAAACGGCTTCTTCCTCCAAAGATAACGTAGTTTGTCTTCCCATACGTGGAGCGGATGTCTTATTTTTTTATTTTCTATTTTATGTGCTAAACGGAATATGGAATTTTTTGCTTACCGATCGAATTGACTGTCCTTCTTCGATAAATTGCAAGGCATATTGAAGTTGCTCGGGGGTCCACTTAGCTTTGTTTCCTTTTTTTGATGTAAGTCCTAGGCATCTGTAACAAATAAAACACATTGATTTAGAATTAAAAATATACACCCGACTTAGTCATAGGAAGGCCTGTGGAGGTAATACCGGTCACGATTGGTATTACCCCAACCGTTTTGGCCGGCATTTCCCGAAAGCAATCCGACGACATAAACCTAACCTAAAATTATTTCTTTTTATTTAAGCGCCTGTAAAAGCAGGGTATAAACGACAAGATGCCTCTTAAGACATTCCTTATATTCCGTGCAAAAAATAACTTATTTGGGTACTTACGTTGGTTTAAGTTCGTCAAAATATTACAAGAAATCCTGGTAATAACTGGACCACAACAACAGATGTCTTAGACTGGAGCTTTGAAGAGTAGAGAGTCACTTCCTTGATTTGAATTTTGTCTCTCTATTATTATAGCATCTACTTTCTTTGACCTTTGTTTCTGACTTGCTGTTTCATTCATAATAAAAAATAATGATGATGATGATGATGTTGATGATGATGACTTGTTACTATCACTGCCATTACTACCTTTATTTAAACTGCTCATCAAACTGTTTTTTCTATCATGATCTTCGTTTTCTTTTTTATTTAAGAAGCTTCCTATTTCTTGGTCAAAAAATTGTCCAGTTTCTTTTGCATTATCCATACTTTGAAAACCCTCCTGCTTAAATCTTAAATCAATTAGAGTACCCATTTGAGTCACAGTCCTCTTTTCATATGGGAAGAGTTTAACTTCCACTGAACTTAATAATTTTTGAACATGTGCTTTCCTTCTTCTGTTAGGATATCTACACTTACGTTTTTTAAAGTACTATATATGCCAAAGGTTAAGGGAATAATGATATGGTGACATATCTTGAACCTGATACCTTTGCAGTTGTTTCATCAGAAGGTGCTAGTAATTTTTTCATATCTGTTAAGTACATGAATCTTAAATAACTGCAACAAATTGAACATCAAGTTTTCACAAGTGTCGATATACATTTTTTCATAATTGTCTCTCAAATAGTATACTTGCTGGGCATAATATACATCGGATTTAAAAGATTAATAAATGATCATTGACAATATTGTAGGGTTGAAAGTCCTTTGCAATTATTAAGGCCAACAACCTATCCAGGTCCTTTTTACTTCTAGAATCGCTAATATACCGAGTTTCACGCCTAAAGAAAGGTCTAATTGATCTGTTGTTAGACCTTGCTGAGCTTGAAGCACTGTCGCTATCCTTAGTACTTTGGATATTCCTAGGTTCTGCAATAAGATGTGAGTGGTGTCGTTTAAGATAGTCATTTAAATTGCTTTTTTTCTCACTCGTTTTATATTCTTTGCCGCAATTCAAGCACTTGGCAAATTGTGTATCAGTGAACTTTTTGAAAAAGTTCCAAACTTTGGAAAGCTTTGGTCTTTTTCTTTTATTAGATTCTAAACTTTTATCACCATCTTTGTCATCCTTACTAGGATTATCAATAAGCCTTTAATCAGTTTCATCATCACTGGTACCTACAAAATGAAAATGGACATTAATATAGAGAATTCCAAAAACAAGAGAGAATTACAACTTACTTTTGCTTGTTCCCGGTTCACTGCGAATTGTGCCAATGAGAAACGTCTCCATATTATCAGTAACAATCTTATTACAGTTCCGTTTAATTTTCGGTTCAAACTAATTAATTAATTTTTTAAACAATATAATCATATTTTATCAAATCTAAATCAAAACAGAAAACAATCACCTTTCACAAAAATGACAACCCTTGACACAAACACATTCTTTAATCTTCTTTTTTTAGTTTTTGTTTCTTTATTTGGCCTTTACCATCTAGGATATACATTGAAAGGAGTCATACTACCAATGTCAATTGTCATTATTAGACGTCAACTGTCAGTATTAGGCAGAAAGCATACTATCGAATCCTATCGATTAAGGGACTATCGTAGAAAATACATAGCGCCGATCCTGTTCCAAACACATTTCAGAACAACTAAGTTGAAATAACATAGATACTAAATAAAGCTTCTTTCTTTTACATATCTTCTGATCTCTCAACTAAACATATCGAATGAACTGTTCTGATTGCTTTTGATATCGTTTGAAACAGGACCTGAACGACAGCGTAGACAGTTTGGATGAAAAAAATCCGGACATCATACCCCAAAACAACGGCGAAGATGAATATCAGGACGAGGAGAGGGCTTTCGAACGATTGAATAGCACAACGCTGAGAGTGTACAATAGGATGCAGAGCCCGAATAGCCAGATGAAAAACAACGGATCTTATGATGCTTACGGTAACAAGATGGTAAGTGTTTTGGGTCTGTCAGTAGAACCGTGAATGGCTAAAATGTATAGTAGAAGTAAGCACTTTGATAAAATGATGATAGTGCATAAGGGACGCTTAGTTTGTTTTTATAGATGTTTTGCGGTCCCGTAGCGTTCTTTTAATTATATACTATAAATCTTATACACAATGCGTTCATAAAGTTTGAAATATATTTATTATCTCGACAAATAATAGTACAGATTATGCAACAAGAGTGGATATAATAGACAGTACATTCTAGTTGTACGGTATATTTTATTTTTTTGTCACTAAATAAAATTACTCTTTTAAGAATAATTGACGCAAAGATTTAAATTCATAGAATAAACATGAAAAAATAAATTAAAAATTAAGCCTTATCCGGGATTTGAGCCACAGACCTTTCGAATAACAACTAAACATTCTAACTATTACATTAACATCTTACAAAAGTGAAGTGGCATTATTTAATAATTTTTAACTAAAATCATTCATTTTTAATTATATTTTAATCTCACGTTACACTTAAAATGGCATCTTCTTACGCATGTTAGATCTTCCCAACAAACATTGAAGTTGTGGCAAATTGTTGGCCCTTTAACGAATGTAGTGGCAAAGTAATTTGTAACGGCAAAATTGTTATGGCCCTTTTGAAATTTGTAATTAACTGCACTTTAACTTTAACTTTTCGATGGGCCGTTGATGGTATTTTTAAATGTCCACATGCAACTGTAAAATCTTTATAGTTTGAAATTGTAATCAACCTTCTTTTAACTTTAATTATTTGATGGGACGTTGATGGATTTTTAACTGTTTCCCATATTCAACTGTAAAATAATTATTGCCCTTTTGAGATTTGTAATTAATTGGCCTTTAACTTTAAGTATTCGATGGGCCCTTGATGGCTTTTTAACTGTTTCCCACAAATAAAAAGAAGGAGAAAGAATAACAACCTACTGTATTGTGTTTAAAGTGAAGATTTTATCGTGCATATTTTTAATTGTTTTGCTGGCCACTGCAGTATGTAAATTGTTTTTAATTGTATTGACATAATTATTATACAGAGTGACAATTTAAAAAATCTGATGTGTCCAACACATGACTTTCCTATCTAGGTATTACAGGCTTTATCCGGTTATTTTGTACAATCTATTGCAGCATCTCTATAAATGTTTAGAGGATAAACTAAATATATACATTGTCCACATACATCTACCGCGAAACATTTTTCTATAGATATTCATTGAAAATGAAAATACTGAAAAATTTAAATTTAGCACTTTTCCTACAATTTTTCCATTACGGTCCATTTTAAAAAAATCATGTATAAACAAATATTATAGAGATCGATATCGCAAACAACTTTTATTTCAACAATTTTCATAAAAATCAGAATTTTGCACATTTTGTCAAATTTTTCGAATACGGACCATTCAGGAAATTTTTACATTAAACAAAAATTATAGATAATAATATTAGAAGTAACTTTTATTTGAACAATTTTTTTCTTCAAACATAAATAACAGATATATTCCATAAAATATAAAAACGGCCCCCCATAAAGTACCCCCCCAGATGTTCCGACTTTGTCCAAAATCTAATCATTTCACGTCAGGCCGAAATAAAACTTAAGTTTAAAATTTAATGTTTTTTTCTTTATCCATTTTTGAGTTTTCTTCAAATTTCGAAATTTACACATTTTCTCAAATATCTCGAATACGGTCCATTTTAGAGAAATTATCTATAAGATAAAAATGATAGAGAATTATATTACAAACAACTTTTGTTTGAACAATTTTTATAAGAAAAAATATTTTTTTACATTTTGTCAAATTTCGCGAATACGGACCATTTTAGGAAAATTTTGTATATAACAAAAATTATAGATAATAAAATAAGAAGTAACTTTCATTTGAAGAATTTTCTTCCCCAAACGTAAATAACAGATATATTCTATAAAATATAAAAATTACCACCCATAAAGTACCCCCCCAGATGTTCCGACTCTGCCCAAAATCTAATCAGCTCATTAGACGTTGGAACAAAGCTTAAGTTTGAAATTTGGTGTTTTTCCGTGTATCGGTTCATGAGTTATGCGTTATACAGACACACACACACACACACACAGACACACACACACACACAGACACACACACACACACACACACACAGACATCATCGCGAAAATAGTCAAAACGGATTCAGGGGACCTCAAAACGTAAAAATCCGTCGAAAACTCGAGGTCGAAAAAAATCATGATTCCTATACTTTCCTTATATCTGTATACAGATAGGAAAGTAAAAACTTACAGTGACTCTTATCTCATGAACTAAAGATAATAAAATCAGTTAGAAAAGAAATGTACCCTGTGCAAGGGCGGATCCCGCCTTTTAGTCAGGGGGGGTCACATCAGACCATCAGAGGCATATCAAAGATAAAAAAAAAAAAACGCAAAGAAGCCAAAAATATTTACTCAAAAAACCTATTAATATCAATTTAGTTGATATACAACTTGTAAGACCAACATTTTAATACTAACTTCAAATTAAATAACGAAATCAATTTTTGTCTTCTGCCTTCTCGCGAAACGATTAATTCTTCTTCCACATCAACAGGAACATTTTTATGAATGTGGAGAAGCGCCAATCCTGTTAGAAGGTCTTCCGCCATTGATGCTCTCAACCAAGTTTTCAGCCTCCTAAGTGTGGAGAAGGACCTCTCTGTCGTCACTACACTGACCGGTAGTGTAGCAAGAATACACATAAACTTTTTTATGTTAGGATACATATCACCATCGCAATGCATTATCAGATCAGAAATCGTCTGCGATATAGGCTGATCCTGTTTCCATTTTTCTCTCCACAGCCAATATTAGCTAATTATGACCGACACTGGCGTGTTATCTATTAGTGGTTTATAGGTTACGGCGACATGTTTAACCGTTTCTATTTCCTCATTACTACAGGTATGATTAGCTTTTGGAATGAACACGCCAAAATGGAATAAATCAAGTACCTCTAGAGATAACCGCTCTTGCACTTCATTTATTATGGAGTCCAGAAGAGGGATGTAGACGCTCCTGCGAAAATACTCCTCGGCTGATTGGATTGAGCTGGTTGATTATTAGCTCTATGTACTTGTCTTGACACTAATCTGGGGCATTTTATTTCAACGTCAAGTTGTTCGGCTAATTCTTTTGCTTCATCAAAAAGTTGTTGAAACACTGTGTTTACTTGTTCCCTTTTTGTCTCAGAATACTCATTGTGTCGTTTATAGCCTCTGTAGCCCTCTCTAAATCAATCGAGCTGGTTTGTAATACTCTGCTCAAGGATACAGTTGTACCTAAAAAAAATTAGTTATATTAAACTAAAATTTGAGCACGCTTTGATCGCTGTGTACCTACCTAAAATATCACTCAACCAAATAGATGATATTATAAAGTCCGAACTGCGCAATGTTTGCAACAAGCAATGCGCATCATTAGCAGTATTGTTGAATTGCCAAGTAGATATCTTTTCTAGAGTGGTACAAATTTTTACTAAGTTGTCACTTTGAAATTGTAGATGTATCACCTGTATCATTATCATCGCATTTAAGCATATCGTGAACATCACAGAAAGTCACAAAATCTTCCTTTATAGTACCATTATGAAATGAAAGAATCAGCTGCGAGATATGTGATAGGTCTGTTGTTTCATCGAATAAAATTGAAAAGTACTTAGCAGCCTTTACATTCTCGGGAAGTTGTTTTCCTTTTTCTTCCATATTTCTACTTCCGCTGAACTTCAACTGATCCATTCTCCTTTTTTGTTTAATTATTATATCTACAGCTCCCAAGCTTACCGAAGACTCTCTAGTAGTATCCCTTTGTGTCATGGATTCATATTCACTAAGGGTTTTATATCCTTTCTCTTTTCCATGATGCCAGAAACACGAAAAAACTAGCTAAAACGAATTATTTCTCCCAAAATCACAAAAATACGTGTAACTTAGTCACAATAATCGGAAAAGCGACTCTCATTAGCAATACCTTGATGCAGAATTATAGGTCCGGGTAATTCAGAAGACAGGGTTCAAAATAAAAGTATTTATTCTCTCTTTAAAATAACAAAATAAAATGTATTTAAAATAAATTAATTTTCCTCACGGTCTTCGGTCCAATAGCCACGGCCTTTCGTCGAGCGTCGAACGGTTGGGCTCTCGATGAGATGCTTCGCTATAAAGTATCTCTGCTGGGAAACGACGGGTTATCTGAAAGTAAAATATTATTCGAGTACGGAGTTCACGTCGAAGACTCAACGCGTCTTCTACGTGGAAACAGATTCAACGCGTCTTCTACGTGGAAACAGACTCAACGCGTCTTCTACGTGGAAACAGACTCAGCGCGTCTATCGGGAGAATAGGCTCAACACGTCTATCAGGAAAATAGACTCAACACGTCTATCAGGAATCGGTAAACTCAACGCGTTTACCAGATGACAAACTCAACACGTTTGCCTGGAGGGGTCAGGAAACAAGTGGTACTCAACACGTACTACTCGGGGAGGTAGTGAGTTCTTTTCAGCTCAGCTCGCCGAATGGAACTGCCAGTTTAAACGATTGCTTTTATTTTTATATATCGGCGGTGGCAAGAGATACCCTCTCTCTCTCGCTAATTGAAGTGGAAGGGAAACGCTCGACTCGCTGGGTCGCCGCTTCGATGTAGGTTTGAGAAACCAGTGGCGTAGCTTTAGTAACGGTAATTTATTATCGTTACAAGGATACCTCAAGAAACAACTATCAAAATTGTCAAGTGTTGCCAAGTTCAAATAATACAAATCATATTCACATTAATTCGCACAATACTGTATATTCTTAGTTTATTCAGAATCTGCGTGAGATTATTCTCAGAATATTGTTAAAAGTGAGATTATAGGCCCCTTTGACTAACCTTAAAGTTTACTCTTAGCAGTAAACACGGGTTATATAGAGGGGCCCAATTTGTATTTAAATTGGCCACTAGATAACACACGGCTAGGGGGTTAAGTTCAGACGGGATGGGCCTAAGGAACCCTAACTTCCTGACGATGATTCAGAGGACGGGAAAAGGGTTTGCCCTACAGGGACTATTCCCTTTGGTAGTATCTCTCTCAGAGCTCTGACTAAGCCAATACCCCCGCCGTTGAATGATCGTGAGTTTTCATAAACCAAAAATATTGAAAGAACGAACGTAAAAAAAATAACTATGATTTATTTAACAAATATAGAAACAACTAGTATTGTTTCAGTATTTCAGTAGTCTTTGCTGACTACACAAAACTAAATATTATTACTCAAAACTATTTACTTACATAAACATTATATTTTAATCTGTTAGGTTGCATGGCTAGCTGAGAGACACGTTACTTTTTCCATCATGTGGTTTCACAATAGTATATTATGCAACGATCATGTAATGATGGTTATTAATACACGAGCATTAACCGGGATACGAAACGAGCCAAAGGCGAGTTTCGTATGGTTTATGCGAGTGTTTTAATAACCATTACATGAGAGTTGCATACGCTATTTTTTCTACACCCGATAAATAATCAAGACCTATAAATATTATATTTATATTGGTATTGAACACAATAACAGTAATTACTCGTATTTCTATAAAAAATTCTACAAAATTGTAATTAATGGTATTACTTCAGGTATTGGTATTTCCCTAGATTTTTGCGGTAAAATATTTTGTACTGTATTTTCTGCTTTCTCCGATATGTGTGGAGGAGTCTTCTATATCGCTAATATCAGACATTTTAATATTATAATTATCGAAGTTTAGCTACCTACGAAAATTTAATACGTTTTGACAACTAAAATAATTACATAGGAACCTAGGACAAACGTCAAACAGCATGCTTGACTGAAAAATTGTAGGTTTCTATTGATTAAAAATCTGTATCGTAATGAAAAATCTGTATCATAATGGGTATCATTATGAAACGGATTATGGGCATATAAGTGCATTATTATAATACGGGTGTAGAAAAAAAAACTAACCGCGATTTCGCGTGACCTACCCGTGATTCTACTTTCGTTTAGTACGAATGATTACGACCGCTTGTCAACAAAAACCAAAAGAAACATCCCGAAAATTAATTTGTAATCTTCCAAGAATGCTCTTGTTGATCTTTCTTGACCCTGTACTTTAATATTATGATTTAATAAAACCTTGTCCAACTACACATTTTAATATTTTATTGAAAATCTATTTAGCGCGCATGCCCTTGGACAAAACTTTACAAATCATAACATACCTATTCACAGGGTGTTATATTTATTCGCAACAATATCTTGTGCAATTTGGGAACAGTTTGAACTTTCAGTAAAATAACTCAAAACATAATCGAGTAACTATATCTTGTTAAGGTGTAGTCAAAGAAAAAAACAGGTCTTTAGCGTTCCTTTTACACTATCATATTTTCAAAGTAGTAAAAATGTATACTAATCTGACCTACTAAACCTTTTCTCACATAACCGCCTATTTTCCCAACCTAAACTCCTTTTTTAACACAAAAAACAGGCTAGACTAACTTGCTTTCAGAGCGACGAAATAACTTATGCTGAATTATCTATCGCAAACCAACAGATGCCGCAAGTGATCTACAATCAACAATGCATTCCCATGTCTGTGATAAGACGTCAAGAACCCACGGTTTACGCCCAAATCGATGTCAAGCGTATGATGCCACACAACATGCAAACACTGGCCACGCCCAAGCCTTCTTCTTTCCAGACGCTACACCATCCTCATTTACCTCCTTACATGCCCAGGCCGGTAAGGGACGATGGTTCCGTTAGTTCAGAAACTCCATTACTGAATCCTAGAGACTCTGGAGTAAGTATCTTTTAATATTTGGAATATTATAATACTGATATGTAAATAACCAGTAATCTACAATAAATATTTCTTGACAGCCATTAAGAAAAATTATAATTGTATTGAGCTGTTAAATTTAAATGTTTTGGGTTGATAGCCACTTCCGAAGAATGACATTTATTACTTGACACTGTCATTATAAACGAAGTTTATTACAAGGAAATAAGACTGCATTAATAAATAAGAAAAACAAATAATTTATTTAATACCGAAATTATAAACAAAATTTACTTAAAAGTACAGAAATTGTTGAAAATGTCATGTTACGTCTAAATCCCAATGAGCACACGTACGTAAAAAAGTCATCGAAAACTGGTTAATAACCAAACGTATAGAACGTATAAAAATAGTTCAAATGTCGTGGAAAATAACGTTATTCGCAATCAAACGTTATAAAACATTTTGTTGAAAATTGCAAAGAAAAATACTTTAGAAAATAGTATTTTATGTACGTATATATTGTGAAGAAATGCAATAAAGAAAAAGTAAAACAAGAGTATAAATAAATATTAAAAAAAATAAAATATCAAATGAGAGTAAACAATTTAATCTAATGATATTCATTAATAATGAACAACCCTGTATGACTCTAAAATATTTAAATTAATTTCTACAGTTAGACTTAAAATACTACAACTGACAATCGAGCAAACAAATTAATCTAATGATATTTATTAATAATGAACAACCCTATAGTATCTCAGAATATCAATTTTGACATGTAGTCTTAAATAATTAGCAAAAACTATTATTAAATAAGAATAATAATTAGAAATACCTTTGATTGAAATGACGTCACAAAATAAACTTCGTTAAAATATGTAATACAAAAATGCAACCATGATAGGAATTCCGTCATTTCGATGGTGAGTCCCTATCAACGGGGAATAAACATTTTTCAATTTTTTTTGGCGGACATTGATTTTTTTTTTTTGTGAAAGTGTCAGCATCTAAAATTTTTTGAAAGATTAGTAAAATAAGTTTTTGAAATAAATGTGTCTTAAAAATTGTCAAAAATTACATAATGAATAAGTGTAATGTACTATTAAGCTAAATAAACTATGTACCTACCTTCATAGTTAAGACGAGGATCACAATTATTGGAATCTTTGTTCATCAGAATTTCTAGTTTTGACTGCACATGCAAGTTTATGGAATCCTTGTAGTGATCGTGAAAGGAAGACATTCCAGATAAGTGTAATGCTAAAATAATTTCGGTAATTATTGGGAAGACGCCCTTTTCTTAATAATCCAATTTTTTTTTCAAAACTTACGTTTTAGGCTTTAGGAAGGATAGTAATCTTCAAATTTATCTGCGGAAACCCCATACATTTTACTTTTTTTTTCTTTTTTATGTATTATTTAGGAATTTTGAGGATCATTTATATAAGCTTCTTTTTAGAATTATATCTGTCCTGTCATACTGGAAACTGTCACGCCATTACAAATGCGCGGTGTTGCCAACTTCTCCAATCCTAATCAATGAAAAATAAATGTAAAAAACTATAATTACACCACCGGTGGAAATCGCAAAAAATGTGATATTATGGGTTCGATTAATTTTAAGAACTCAGAATTTCGAAAAAAAAAATTGTTACACTAAAAAGTGCTCATTTTATATAGTAAGATTTTAAAGGGCGTCTTCCCAATAATTACCAATTTTATTTAAATTGTTGTAATACACAATTGACTGAATATTAATATTACATCATCTATAAAGTAATAAACAATGTTTACTTTTTAAAAACTCAATTACTTTACCCAAAAGTGTTTAAAGTTTTTCCAAACAAGGAAATTTATTTATCTGACAACATATGACTTGACGGCCAAAGTCAACGATTATCATCAACTAAAGACGATAGCCGAATTCGTTTAATTTCTGCTGGGTTAGCCGTGACATTATCCCCCGAATACGTTCAGCTACATTTAAAACGTACACCAATACACACTTTTTAAAATTACGACGTTTAATATTTTCTTACTTTAAAATATAAAAGTAACTCAGATATTCAAAAATCATTTGACCGAGAGAGAAAATTACACGCATCTAAAAAATTATAGGAGTAAATAAATAGGTAATAAATTTGAATACCATGGCCATGTTATTTAAACATTTTTTAATTAAAAAATATTTAAGAAATTTGACATGTTAGGGTATAATTCAAAATGAATATAACAAGTGTACAAAGAGAAACTTGCTAATATTAAGCTGCCGTCATCTCACCCACCTTCTAACCACTATAAAAGAGCGAGCGAAGCGAGCGCGCCCGGCCGACGTTTCGAAATTCGCGCGCGCGCCCTTTTTACATCTACAATATAAGATATACGCTGCCGTCATCTCACCCTACTCCTAACCACTTCAGAAGAGAGCGAGCGAAGAGAGAGGGCGCCCGGCCGACGTTTCGAAATCGTGCGCGCGAATTCGAAACATCGGCCGGGCGCTCTTTTTTTAAATCTACACAATAAGACACACGCTGCCGTCGTCTCACCCACCTCCTAAAAACTACAGAAGAGAGCGAGCGCACCCGGCCGACGTTTCGAAATTCGCGCACGATGTCGGCCGAGCGTGCATTTTTTACATCTACACTATAAAACATACGTCGCCGTCTACTCACTCACCTCTTAACCGCTTTAGAAGAGAGCGAGCGAAGCGAGCGCGCCCGGCCGATGCTTCAAAATTCGCGCTCGACCGGGCGCGCCTTTTTTACATTTACACTATAAGTCATACGTTGCCGTTATCTCACCTAACTCCTAACTACTACAGAAGAGAGCGAGCGAAGCGAGCGCGCCCGGCCGACGTTTCGAAATTCGCGCGCGAATTTCGAAACGTCGGCCGGGCGCGCCTTTTTTACATTTATACTATAAGTCATACGCTGCCGTTATCTCACCTAACTCCTTACTACTACAGACGAGAGCGAGCGAAGCGAGCGCGCCCGGCCGACGTTTCGAAATTCGCGCGCGAATTTCGAAACGTCTGCCGGGCGCGCCTTTTTTACATTTACACTATAAGTCATACGCTGCCGTTATCTCACCTAACTCCTAACTACTACAGAAGAGAGCGAGCGAATCGAGCGCGCCCGGCCGACGTTTTGAAATTCGCGCGCGCGCGAATTTCGAAACGTCGGCCGGGCGCGCCCTTTTTACATCTACACTATAAGATATACACTGCCGCCATCTCACCCTACTCCTAACCACTTTGTCGGCCGGGCGCGCGCTCGCTTCGCTCGCTCTTCTGTAGTAGTTAGGAGGTAAGTGAGTTAACGGCGGCGTATGACTTATAGTGTAAATGTAAAAAAGGCGCGCCCGGCCGACGTTTCGAAATTCGCGCGCGAATTTCGAAACGTCGGCCGGGCGCGCTCGCTTCGCTCGCTCTCTTCTAAAGCGGTTTGGAGGTGGGTGAGTAGACGGCAGCGTATGTCTTATAGTGTAGATGTAAAAAATGCACGCTCGGCCGACTTCGTGCGCGAATTTCGAAACGTCGGCCGGGCGCGCTCCCTCTCTTCTGTAGTGGTTAGGAGGTGGGTGAGATAACGGCAGCGTATGTCTTATGGTGTAGATTTAAAAAAAGAGCGCCCGGCCGACGTTTGGAATTCGCGCGCGCGCGATTTCGAAACGTCGGCTGGGCGCGCGCTCTCTTCGTTCGCTCTCTTCTGAAGTGGTTAGGAGTAGGGTGAGGTGGCGGTAGCGTATATCTTATAGTGTAGATGTAAAAAGGGCGCGCCCGGTCAAATGATTTTTGAATATCTGAATTACTTTTAAATTTTAAAGTAAGAAAATATTAAACGTCGTAATTTTAAAAAGTGTGTATCGGTGTACGTTTCAAATGTAGCTGAACGTATTCGGGGGATAATGTCACGGCTAACCCAGCAGAAATTAAACGAATTCGGCTATCCTCTTTAGTTGATGATAATCATTGACTTTGGCCGTCAAGTCATAATTATGTTGTCAGATAAATAAATTTCCTTGTTTGAAAAAACTTTAAAGACTTTTGGGTAAAGTAATTGAGTTTTTAAAAAGTAAACATTGTTTATTACTTTATAGATGATGTAATATTAATATTCAGTCAATTGTGTATTACAACAATTTAAATAAAATTGGTAATTATTGGGAAGACGCCCTTTAAAATCTTACTATATAAAATGAGTACTTTTTAGTGTAACAATTTTTTTTTTCGAAATTCTGAGTTCTTAAAATTAATCGAACCCAAAATATCACATTTTTTGCGATTTCCACCGGTGGTGTAATTATAGTTTTTTACATTTATTTTTCATTGATTAGGATTGGAGAAGTTGGCAACACCGCGAATTTGTAATGGCGTGACAGTTTCCAGTATGACAGGACAGATATAATTCTAAAAAGAAGGTTATATAAATGATCCTCAAAATTCCTAAATAATACATAAAAAAGAAAAAAAAGTAAAATGTATGGGGTTTCCGCAGATAAATTTGAAGATTATTATCCTTCCTAAAGTCTAAAACGTAAGTTTTGAAAAAAAAATTGGATTATTAAGAAAAGGGCGTCTTCCCAATAATTACCATAATTTCTTTTTAATACATGAACTGGAGTTAAATAAAATAATATTAACTATATTTGCAAACTACAAAAGGTTCACGAATAGTACTTACCGAATATAAATGAAATTCTTTATACAGACAATAAGAAACAAATCACACATTTTCTTTCGGTTTTTAATATTACCACGAATGATTTGGTACTTCAGTAATACAATAATAAATAAACATTTATCCCATCTAGTGCAAATTTGAACATTTTAATTTTTGAAGAGAATAGAAAACTATTCGTTATACATTAAATGTTACTAAGATTGGTAATAGATGGCGCGACGTGTATGACAAAGTTATTATCTAATGAATTAGACAATAATTTAAAAAAAAATAAAATTGTAATTTATAAAATAGATAGTCTTAAGTTTTTTTTTAAAGGGATTAGGCCTAATTCAACTAAGAAGTTGAAATTATTTTAACAGAAATTTTAAATAACAATTTAAATATTTAAAATGAGTTCAACGAGAGATAGTTTTAGATAATTAAGTAGGTATTTATTGTTAAGTGTTTATGAAATAATTTATGTTAAATTTAAAAAAAAAATGGTATTAATGGTTAATAAATGGTTAATTTATGTATAAAATTAAACAAATTTATTTCAATTTAAAATATAGTATGGTCAAATTAAATTAAAAAAAGGACAATATTTCAATCAAAGTATACAATTTAAAAAAAAATGTTTTGATTTACAATTGAGCTGTCGAATTTAACTGAACCGCCCCTGAGAAAGAGAATCTGTTTGCTCGAAACAAAGACAAGCCGGAAAAAGATTAAAAAAAAGGATGAAAGGTAAGTAATATAAAATATATCTATAATAATAAATTAAAAGAATAAAGATAATAACATAACAATATACGTTTATACAGTATGGTTCAAATGAAAGGAATAAATTCATTATAATGAAAGTAGCTGATTTTTCGAAAAAATGCTCGGACAGGTCAATTTTGTTTACTCAAAGCGCAATTTTTTAAATAGAATTCAATTTTCCCCCACTTCTCATTTTTGGGCAGTGACGTCATTGACAATTTTTTTAAATGGTAACCTCAATTTTTTTTTCTTGATTTTGATAGATCTTGCAATTTCCTACTCGGAAACATAATATTTGAAATATCTTACATAACAATTTTTTGTAAATAGAAGACACTTAAAGATCAGACACATAAATTTTATTTTATTTTGAGAACACAATAAATGAATAAAAGATAATTATTTGTAATTAAATGCTTAATCTAACAAAATAAAAATAAAAATAATGATAATAAAAATAATTTATGAAATTGTCATTAAATTCTTTTTATTATTATTTATTATTATTTTTTTAGATTAAGCACTAAATTACAAATAATTATCTTTTATTAATTTATTGTGTTTCAAAATAACATTATATGGGATGAATACACTATGACTCACAAGAATGCTATTGCGGCTCTTAACAGAACGCTCAAGGATATAAGAAGTTGTAACAAAATTATGGGTGGAATAACTGTTCTTTTGGCTGGTGACTTTATACAAATATTGCCTGTTGTGCCAAGAGGTATACGTGCAGATGAGGTCAAAGCCTGTCTAAAATCATCAATTTTGTGGCCCCATGTCAGCGTGCTCTCTTTAAGACTTAATATGCGCGTTCATCTGGAACATGATTCGAGAGCAGAAGAATTTTCTAAGCTACTACTTCATACAGGTGACGGGACAGATTTCGCAAGTTGAAGGAAGAATACATATTCCAGATAGCCTTGGTAATATTGTTGGGGATTTAATCACCTTGACTGATAAAATATACCCAAATTTCCATCAGAATGAAGTTGGTTGCACTTCGTGGTTAAAAGAAAGAGCTATTTTCGCTCCAACAAATGGCTCCGCATATATCATTAACAACTTTCTTTTAGAGAAGCTACCAACTGACCATGTAAACTATGAATCTGTGGATACAGTAGTAGAAGTAGACGATGCTGTTCGTTAGCCTGTGGAGTTTTTGCATACACTGAATCCACCCGGAATACCAACTTATATTCTTGATCTTAAAATTGGAGCACCAATAATGCTACTGCGCAATTTGAATCCTCCAAAACTATGTAATGGCATCAGACTTTAAATTAAAAGTCGGCATAAAAATGTTATTGAAGCTGCAATTTTAACAGGAAAATATGAAGAAGTTGTATTCATTCCGAGGATTCCTCTTAATCCAACAGAGTTCAAACGTCTTCAATATCCTGTCAGAATTTGTTATGCCATTACTATACTCTGTTTTTAAACTAGAAGGAGCGAATTGAAAAGACGCATTTACACAGGGAAAAGTAACTGGATTTGTTACTAAGAGCGATTTTCGAATTATAGTCGTGTTTAAAATTTATGAAATAATTATTTTTATCGGCCTTAGTCGGTGAACGGCCAATGAGCGGTTAAGAAACGAATAAATGTCATAGAAGTAATTTTTTAATTGGTCCCAGACAACGGTCGCAAATTTCACATTATTGTGATCTGAAATGTGTGTCTAAAACGAAATGTCACTGTCAAATTAAAGTCAATATGGTTGTTGATTGATGTCAGAAATACTTTTTCTTGCTTTTGAAATCGACTTTTTGAGAATAACTATGATCGTTTTAAAATGGATATTAAATATTTAAGAAAATTGTTAATGGAATATCCAGATGTAGTCAGGTTAGTATAAAATATAAAGATCTGTTTACATTTTTAAGGATATATTTGTTATAGGTATAAAAAGTAAGTTAATCTGTGAATGACAAGAGGATCACACAGTAACTTCTATGAGTAATGTGGATATTATGGCTTATTTAGTGTTAACCCATGGTTAATGCGCTAGAGGGCAAATAAAGGCATTCAAAAGTTTACAGACCTATGAGTCAGAATTTGTTTTGAAAACTGGAACCAACATTTTCATAACACTACAAGTCAACATATATTTTTTAAAGTGAACTCATATTTTAATTCCGTACAGATGGTTGCTAAAACAAACGAACAACTGCAGTTTCTGGATCGGTACAAATCTGAACCTGTGCATCCGGAATTTAATTTTACCCGTGTAGAAATAAAAGATGTAGCTGAAGCAATAAACAGAATAAAAACCAATGCTGTTGGTGCCGATAAAATATCCTCTAGGATGATAAAATATGTCAGTTTTTATCTCATGTCCCATATTGTTTTTATTGTCAATACAGCACTCTCTAAGTCAAAGTTTCCTAACGATTGGAAGCATTCGAATATATTACCATTGCCTAAAACTAATTCACCTACAGAATTGTCACAATTACGTCCTATAAGCATACTTCCTGTCATGTCTAAAATACTAGAGCATATTATAAAAGTACAATTATCCTCTTATGTATTTAATAAAGGTATAATACCACCGTCCCAATCTGGATTTCGAGAAATGCATAGCACAAACACAACATTATTAAATATCACAGATGATATTTTTAAAGCAGTCGATAAAAAAGAAATATGTTGTCTTGTACTTTTGGACTATAGCAAAGCTTTCGATACATTAGATCACCAGCTATTATTGGATAAATTGAAATTTTATGGTTTAACGGAAAATGCTACCCAACTCATTGAAAGTTATTTAACTAACCGCACGCAGACCGTTATTTTGGGATCTAATGTGTCGAATTCTTTGGAACTAAAATTTGGTGTTCCACAAGGATCTATATTAGGACCACTCCTATTTATGACATACATTGCTGATTTTCAAAACTACAAAATTTTGTAAACTGCATAATTATGCGGACGATACCCAATTACATTATTCCTTTGAATTCGGTCAAAGAATACTTGCAATGGAACATATAAACTCCGATTTAAAGACCTTAAAAAATATTTCTAGTGCTCATAATTTGAAACTTAATGAACTGAAATCAGCTTCTATGTTATTTGGTAACAAAATTAATCGTGTAACACTGAAACATGAAATGCAAATCTCCATTATTAATACACCGATTCCGATGGTTGACGAATTAAAAAATTTAGGCTTATGGTTTGATTCAGATATGAGATTTAGCAAACATATATCTCAGCTTTGTAAAACCACTTATAACACATTAAGACAGCTTTATTCCCAAAAAGATAGTTTAAATAAGAAATTAAAATTAAAACTTTGTGAAGCTCTAATTTTTTCAAAAATATCGTATTGTGACTGTGTGTATGGACCAGCTTTACTAAATTCAGATATTATCAGGCTTCAAAGACTACAAAATTCCTGTACTCGTTTCGTAACAGGTCTTCGCAAATTTGACCATATCAGTGACAAGATTAAAGAAATTGGTTGGTTAAAATTAAATAAACAAAGGTCTTTAAGTTTGCTAAATATAACACATAAAATATTAACAAAAAAACAACCCTCTTATCTGTTCCGAAGGTTTAATTTTTTTCAAAATCAAAATAATAGAGGTACACGAAACAAACAATTACTGATATTACCACGATTTCAGTCCGCAATATTTTTGCGTAGTTTTTCATATGCGGCTTGTAAAATATACAACAGCATTCCCCCAGAATATAAAAACTATACTATTTACAACTTTAAAAAGAAAATTAAACTTTATGTTCATTCCCTTCCCTAATCGTCCTTATTGATAAAAACAGACTTGGCAATTCGGTTTTTGGTTCGTGTACCTGCTTGAATTTTAATTTTCAGTTCAATATGGATGTTATTATATATACATAATGTTTTTTTTTTTTAGCTTATAATTTCTTTTTTAGCTTTTAATTTGTTTTTTTTATGACTTGTTTTTTCGATTTGTATTCTTTTTTGTGGGTTAAGTTGAAAAACAGCTTTTAGCTGAACTTCGCCCTTTTATATGTACGCTGTATATAAATAAAGACGTTTATTATTATTATTATTATTAACTATTCATACATACTTATGTATTAATTTTAAGTATTTTTAAAATATTTTTTGTGAAAATAATGTTAACTCATTGTGCCTTAATTATCCCTAAAGTAGTAGATGATGGTGTTTTAAATGTTATAAAAATTTTGTAAATAGTTTTATTCTATTCTAATAAATAAAATTTGCTTGAATATTTAGTTACATTTTAATCATTTTGGTTAGAAATTCATCAATTTTTAGTTTTAAAAAATCAGTAATAAAATTATTTTTTTCTAAAATACTTCGAAATTGATCTCTTCATGGTAATCTCCCATCTTTTGACCTTCAAAAACCAATAATGCGTTTTCTACAAAACCTTCAGAATCAGCATGTAAAATAATGTGTCTTTCCTTTCTTGTAAGGCTTTTCAGGAATTGCTACCTTTCATAGTACTCTGTGTAGAAGGATCCATAATTGTAGATTTTCAATACAATTGCTTACTGAAGAACTATTATTTACGAAATAAAGTAAAAAACTAAGTAATAGATGAGATATCAAATTATAAAATGTCAGAACTGTCAACAATATCAATTATTAGCTGATGTTCATGCTAAAAAGTAATGTGTGAAACTGACTGTAATCTAACCAATCACAAGGCTACATAATTGCCAACTTAAATTAAAATCGCTCCTCTTAGTTTAAAAACAGAGTATAACAATAAAGCGCAAGGGCAGAGTTTTAGAATGGCTGGTGTGGATCTGAGAAGTGATTGTTTTTCTCATGTTCAGTTTTACGTGGCGTGTTCAAGAGTCACTTCACCAGACAACTTAGTCATTCTTTAGCCAGAAAAGAAAACGAAGAACGTTGTTTACAGGGAAGTTTTAAGTTAAATTATTTTATTTACAATAATGAGAGATACTGATGCTTTATCTTTAAATGACTTTTTTTCAAAAAAAATTGTTATGTCAGATATTTCAAATATTATGTTTCCGAGTAGGAAATTGCAAGATCTATCAAAATCAAGAAAAAAAATTGGGGTTGCTATTTAAAAAAATTGTCAATGACGTCACTGTCCAAAAATGGGAAGTGGGGGAAAATTGAATTTTATTTAAAAAATTGCGCTTTAAGTAAACAAAATTGACCTGTCCGAGCATTTTTTCGAAAAACCAAGTACTTCCATTATAATGAATTTATTCCTATCATTTGAACCATACTGTATACGTATCAACCTATCAACTAAAATCTGAATTAATAAACGTTCTGCTAATTAAACATTTATTAACTCCCAAAATAATACATGTGTCTCTCGACCACGTTGCTAGCTCACATAACCTCAATTCCATGTGTGCCAACAACTAAATCTGAAAGTAACTAACATATATGTAATATGAGTTGCCTAACACCACATCTCTCTTCACATATATATTTTTTATATAATAAAATTAACATTTAAACACGTACTATTAACTTAAAACATAATCAGTTAAATGAACAGGTGCTTTTAAAACCCTCTTAGGTCTAGCAGTTTCGATGTCAATGTCAGTTTCTTGGTCTTTAGACATTACCTCACTTTTACGACCCCATTTGCTTTCTTCTACACACTCACTTTCTTCTACTACACTGTCACTTTCTTTTGCTATACTGTTTCTAATACTCGTATTACAATCTTTAACAACACTTTCCTTTCTACCTTCGTTATTATTAAAACTATTATCCATAGTTTGAGTGATTGAATCAGATTTTATATTTTTAAAGTAATAAGGTATATATGATCGTGGCTCTGAACACATTCGAACTATTTTCCCATACTTTCTGATGTCGATCACCCAAACTGAATCACCTATATTTAAAGGATTCATATCCTTGGTTCTGTGTCTGGCATTGTAATGTTCTGCCTGATTGTCTTTTTGTTTTTTTGAGAAATATGGTAAGGGATCAATGACCTTTGTTAAATTACTAGGTAGTTGGGGAAGAATGGTACGCAATTTTCTAGAAAATAACAATTCAGACGGTGAAAAACCTGAATCTAAGGGGGTTGTGCGATAAGCTAACAGAGCTGAGTGAATGTCATACTTATTCTTTACTAATAAATGTTTTGCTGTCTGCACCGTTCTCTCTACTAACCCATTACTTTG